TTTTTCTTTTTGGTTTTAAAGACAGATGTGCATTATTCCATACTGTCACTTCTCCTATGTCTTTCTGACTCTCCTTCAAACAGCAATTACGTGGAAATGCCAAGAGATAAAGAAGTGGGTACGTTTTTAGATACTGTAATATATAGCAAAGAAATTATTTTTAATGCTTAATTGGTTTTTATAAACTTTGTAAAAATCTGTGAAACTAAAATATTTCTGTTGCATTGTATACAATTGCAATTGCAAATTTTTATTTAAAATGTAAATTCTGACTTTGTAAGTTGAACTAATCTCAATTATATAAAGAGAAAAATTACTTTTGATAAAAGAAATTTTAATGTATTAGAAACATTTCCAAGTTTTATTTTGAGTTTTGGTAGACTTTTTCCCTATACTTTTGGGGTGGATTTTTTCCCCCACACATATTTGATAAAACTGATGAGATTCTTCTGTTACATTTTAGAAAAGAAAGATGATTTTGACTGGGGGAAATACTTAATGGAAGGTGAAGAAATTGACCTTAGTCCAAATATAGACACACCGGTAAGTGTCAATAGTTTTCCTATTAAAAATACAAATACCTTCCAAGTGATATAGATGACTTGTAAAGGTTCTTCTGTCCTGCAGCAACTTAACTAAAACAGAAACTCTCTTCAGTGAACTAGAGTAGTTTATTATGGGGGATTTACTAAGATTTTATATGAAATCATTAGTACTAGGAAATTGAATGGAAAATATCCTTTAAAGAACTGTGACGGGATTTTTGCCACCAAAAATAATTCCATCCATTCAAGACATTTAGAAAAAGTTCATTTGGTATAGTTGTTGCTTTTCCTCTGAAACTTTCCTAATCTTTTAATATAAGTTGCTTCTGTTGTTACATCTTCTAAGGATAGGTGTTTTTCCTTCCTTCATCAGAATTGGTCTGAAGAAAGTGAGGATGAAGATGATACACAGCCCTGGAGCAGAGAGGATTCTGGAATTCAGGTGGATAGGACACCATTAGAGGAACAAGGTCACAACAGAAAGCCAGGGCCATGTGTCAGCTGGAAAGGTATTGTGTTCTTGGATGTTGGCATCCTTCTGTAATAGAGGAATTCTCAAGAAGGAAAGACCAGCTTTGAGACTCATACCCATGTCATTTAAAATATTGGCAAGCTCTGCCCTCCTTATAAAACAGATCTTTTCATCATTAGGTCTATAACTGTCTAAGAAGTAGCACTGTAGAATTAATGTTGAAAGGGGATTTAGACTGCAATTTTTTATTCTTACAGTTCTGAGAATTGTGTTGGTCCTAAATATTTTTAGTTTATTTTTTATTGGAGAAAGATTGTCTTGGTAAAGTTGGTAATTAAAAGGAAAACATCTATACCATTTATTTTCCATTTGGGTGTCTGCTTTTTAATGTTTACTGAAGAACTATGAACTCATAAAATCTAGAAAGAGCTAGAAACAACATTATAGATTAGGTCATTGAATCCTACTTCTCATTTTGTAGCTAAGGAAGCAGAAGCCTGGTTACAATGGTTTTCCCATGGCTGCACTGCTTTGACACAAGCCCCAGAGGCTGGGGTCTGTGCCCAGGCCCTGTGCGCTGTACTTGAACCTTGCCCAATGGACACAATGGAGTTAAAGCCGATTTAGCTTCCTAATGATTTCCTGATTTTCTCTTTTCTTCCCTTACTTTCTAATTCTTGATTGGGACGTTCAGGGCAGAGTGCAGATTAAAGAGCTCAGAGCACGTCCTCACTGGTTTGTTCAGGACCTCTGCATATTTCTTCTCTTTGGGTCTCTCATTCTCACCTTGTCCCCCAGTTACAGGCACCTGTTCTAATGGAGTGGGTATCTGTGTTCTCACATATGTTAACTTCTTAAAAAGTACATTGTGTTGGTGGGTGGGTTCTGATTTTAAACTATGTACGACTGTGATACCGTGTAAACTTTGTTCCTCTTTGCATTGAACTCTGGGTGAAATCTGCCCATATCACTCTGTGAACATTTCTTCTGTTGCTCCCAACAGCTCTGGGGGATTCTGTGCTTGGTACCCCCACATTTTTGTTAGTGGTGTCCTGAGCTGCCTGGCCTCCTCTGCCTAGTACCCCACCCATAATGGACCTGGCCCTACTTGATAAGATCCTCCCGTCTGTTTGGAGTCTGTTTTCGTTTGCATTTGTGTGATTATACAAGATGAGTGTTTTTGATTCCTAAGGTCCCTCAGTATAACCCCTTCTATGATATCTTTTGCTTGTTTCTCTTTTTCAATTACACTTTACATTCAGTATTATTTTGTAT